GTTGTAGGAGGCAAAATAGGCTTTGGTTTGACCCTCTCTTCAATAAATCAATAATTTTTGTGTTTTTATTAATTTGTAAACAGAGATCAAGAAACTAATTTCAAAACTTGCAAAAGAGAAAGACAATGAGCAGCTCAAGGAGTGGATAAAGCCATGCACAAACCATCTTCACTGGAGTGCTACAACCACACCAAGTGGAAATGGAAAAATCATCTGGGCTAAGTTTAAATCATTCCTAAGCCACATTGTTAACAAACATTCAGACTTAGACGATCCTCTCTTTAATAAATGTGCCCATGGAGAGATTAATGATAGGACATGGCTTCAGACAGGTGAGAAAATCTCCCACTCTAACACTTGTGATGGTCAGTTGTTTTCTAATGTGGTTTTGATTTAGACTACAAGTAGTCTTTCTTTTTTTAGCCTGCTAAGTGAAATGCACAAGACACAAAATGATTTAGTGTGTGACTCAGCTTGATGCTCATACCTTTTCCTCATTAAATGTGAAGAAGAGAAAAAGGAAAGAAACTGCTTGCAGTCAAGTTTGATTTCTTTCATGTTGTTAAATCAATATCCCTATTTTATAACTCATTCTTTGCTTCTGTGAAGCAAATTTTACTCAAATACACACTGTTATTAGTTCTGATCATTACTGTTTTTGTCTTCAACAGATGACAAAGCCTATGAAAGGTTATGCAAAGTGCTGACAACTAACAGCCTGAAGAAGGGGATTCAACAGGCATCACCAATCGACCAAACAGATTGCTTGGAAGGGTTCCATTCTGTACTAAATCAGTTTGCCCCAAAGATGATTGCATATTCTTATGTTGGGATGCTTTGCAGGTAGTTGTAATACAGGCATATCAAAGGGGAGGGCTGCGATAGGTGTACTTCCTTCAGAAACAGCTTTATCTCCTTTTCTTCGGAATATTTTTATTAGTATAATCTGGACAGTTGCCAATAAAAATTAATGTTGTTATGGCAGTGCATCCCACTATGCAAATAATGGTACCCTACTGGCTGCGAACATTTCAAGTACAAACATTGTGTAATTTTTTAATCTGTTTTCCAGGCACATTCTAGCGGCACTTCACTTTAACTACAATTTACGTAGAGAAGCAAAGACGAATCCAGATGGGACAGAAAAAGTAAAAGTTAGCTACCCAAAATACAAGAATGGGGAAGCAACCGTCAGGAGTGTCAAGATAGAACAGAATTTTGGTTTGCTGAGTTTGTTTTATTTAAAACATGTATCTTTTCCTGTGTTCACAATCGCAGTGTAAACATGATTCATCAAAACTTGAATCCTTTCTAACTTGGAGCCACGGTAGCAACAACACGTACAAACATTCAACCAGAAAATTTAAGGTTGGCAAAGAATAACCTGTTGACAGTCAATAGAATTTAAAATTTGCCAAAATAGCTGAGATAATTTTAGAATCATGTTTTGGTGCTAGTGTGAACACAGCTTTAGACAAACAAAGATTGCTTTGCCTATTTCTATTCATTGGTGCACTTTTTAAATAAAGTTTAATTAACTACAGCAGACAGAAATATTTGGCATATTTCGGTTTTTTTAGACTATGTTGAGGAGCTCTACCAGTTTTATCTAAAATCCAGCAAGGAGGACCTGGCTAGTGCTGTGGATGAGCTCAAGGAGATGACCCCACAGCCAATGCTGTCAATGTTTGAAAAACAACCCAAGGAAGCTGCTATCCAAAAGCGGAGCGAAAGGAGGAGAATGGTAACAAAGGAGGTCCCTCCTACAGTGGAAGGTAAATAAATACATTTGATTAAAAATTCACTTTTTTAGTGTACATGTCCAATTCTTGGTTATACAAAGAAGAGTGAATCGAACAACAGAGAATACTATTCACTGTAGTGCTTTCTATTTCTAAGACCAGAATGGCTGCCATTTCATTTGTTCCTGGTTTGCAAACCAGGAATACAATAATATTATTCTTATTCATTCTGTTGGCTAATATGAGTTGATTTTTCTGCTCTCAGCTCCTGTAGAACAACCCGAGGGAAGAACAGGGGCCCAGACAACAGCAAGAAAGGAAAGACGATGCAGAACATGCAAAGAACCCCTCAAAGGTCACAAGAATGTGACCCATTGCCCTAAAAACCAAAAGTAGAGGAAGAAACCAAACCATTGCCATGGGAATAGTGTTTTACTAGAAACATTTCATTGAAAGTTGATCTTTTTAAAAAGTGTTAGGCTAGTCCATGTTCTTTACTTCAGAGTTCCATTCAATAGTGTAAATCACTGTAAATAAACAGTATTCTGTCAAACTGAAGTGACATATA